TACTAGAATAAATCTGATTTATTTTAAAAAAAATCAAGATCTCAAAACTTTTATTTTAATAATATGAATAAGTATTGGACAGAATCTGACTGGGTTGCAAATATAAGAATGTCAAAAAAAGCTTTTATATACTTATGTTCAGAATTAGCAATATTTATAAAAACAAAAGACACTAATTTTAGAAAGACTGTTTCAGTTGAACAGAAAGTTGCAATAACCTTGTATTTCTTCTCTGGATTTTTTGACATTTAAACAATAAGCAACCTTTTTTGTCTGGGTTGTTCAACAGTATGTCAATTGATTCACTTGGTAACAAATGCAATTGTTGATAACTTGCTAAAAAAATATTTATACCTACCTCAAGAAGCAGAGGTAAAAGAAATTATGAAACAATTTGAAGATATGTCAAGTTTTCCTCTTGTTGTGGGTGCAGTTGATGGATGTCGTATAAGAATGAAAGCACCGATAAAGAATCCAGAGGATTACATTAATCGCAAAGATTATCATTCAATTATTCTTCAAGGTTTTGTTGACAGAAGATATCTTTTCTGAGACATATTTGTTGGTTAGACAAAAAAGTTTACTACCAAGTAATTTCTCAAGAAGCATTGCAGGAAAAGAAATATCTCCTTTAATTTTAGGGCATTCTGCATACTCTTTGGAAGAATGGCTTATGAAACCTTATTCAGATTGTGGGAACCTTTCAAGGGAAAAAAAAAGTTTCAACTTTTCACTGAGTAGATCTTGGTAATAGTGGAGAATGCTTTTGGTAGGCTTAAAGGAAGATTCCTGGGTATGTGGAATAAAGATAGTTTATCATAAACAGGGTATGTGGAATAAAGATAGTTTATCATTTCAAGTAAATAACAAAAATATAAAAAAATAACTTTTTCAAGAGTTTCTACTTGTTTTTAAGAGTTTCTACTATATATATATATATATATATATATATATATATATATATATATATATATATATATATATATATATATATATATATATATATATATATATATATATATATATATATATATATATATATATAACTATACGTTATATATATATATATAACTATACGTTGTATATATATATATATATAACTATACGTTGTATATAAAAACTTCTACTATTGATGGTATCTAACTATACGCTATATATATATATATATATATATATATATATATATATATATATATATATATATATATATATATAACTATACATTATATATATATATATATATATATATATATATATATATATATATATAACTATATGTTGTATATATATATATATATATAACTATACGTTATATATATATATATATATATATAACTATACGTTATATATATAAACTTCTACTATTGATGGTAATAACTGGAAACTAAAATATAACTAAATGTCTCTTTATATTCTCTGAAATTCTAACTCGTTGCGATCAAACAACCTTTTAACATCTTTATCATTCTTTACACGTACATTAGGAAGTTTTTAAAATCAATTTCAACAGGTTTAGGTAGCTCAAAAGAAGCATTTTCCAAAGTTGTTGAAAAACTTCTAGAAGAACTTGTTAAATGTGATGGAAAGGTAGTTGGTCTTTCTCTTAAAACTCTATCAGTTTCATTAAAACAACAAGGCACTTTAGGTGTGGATGCTCCAGTAGCATTTCTTTTATTGTCCGTGTAATGTCTATATGCACAAAGCAGAGTATGTATTCTTGTTTAACAAGAATCTCCATCTCGGTCTAAGTATCCTGCTGCTTTGACATATAAAGCCACATCATCCCATATTTTCTTTTTTCTCGTACAGGACTTCAACCGTTCCTGAATGTTTTCTTCTGACCATTTCACTATAAGTACTTTTGTTTCGGTTTCATACCAATGTTGTGATCTTTTGACAACTTTTTTTTCTTCTATATTCATTAAAGTATTTTATTTAAGCTTTTTGATTTTTTTTTGTCATTATTTAAACACAAATCATGCTTTAACACACATAAATATTCAATTTATCATATATGACATAAAAGAGAAAAAAAGAGACAGCATTTACAAAAATATAATGTGTATACAAATAATCTTTCACGTATATATATATTTATATATACATATATAAATAAATATATATATATATATATATATATATATATATATATATATATATATATATATATATATATATATATATATTACATGTAAATGTGTGTGTATATATATGATATATAATATATATATATATATATATATATATATATATATATATATATATATATATATATATATATATGTATATATATTATATATCATATATATACACACACATTTACATGTAATATTTATATATATATATATATATATATATATATATATATATATATATATATATGTATGTATATATATATATATATATATATATATATATATATATATATATATATATATATATATATATATATATACATATATATATATATATATATATATATTATATGTAAACAATATATATATATTTATATACATATATATAATTATTATTCTCAATTTTTCATTACAACTTTTTTTACATAAAGATTTAAAACAATTTCTCGGCTTCCAAGCAATAAAAGTTTTTTAATAAGACAACCTCACGATGTTGTTTTATTTACCTACGGTTTTTCAAACTTTGAAACAAAGATTTAAAAAGTAGTGTGAACGGAAAAATGGGTCACTAGTTTAAATAACCACGATTAAAACTGGTTTTAATTTTGGTGTGAATGGGGTATTACCAATTGATACTAGATTTTTTTTTGTTTTCTTCACTTGATTTATCAACAGTTTTCTCATGATCATTGAAAATTTCTACAGCGTTGTACCAGGTATTAAATGATTCTTTGAACAATTTACATAATGCATATTTGTTTGGTAAACATGTATCAAAAAGTGTACATGGAAGATAATATTCACCACTTTCACTTTTTAAGTAGCAAAACCAAAAAAAATTATCAATTTATTTTACCAAAAAATGTTGGAAGCATTTATCCAAAACCCAGAAATTATTAATTATACATAACAGTTCATTATCATTTATTCCTAATTTTAATTTTAATCATGTAGAGGGTACAAAGAAACATCATAGTTTGAAAAAGATGCTAACTGATTTGTATTTAAAAAACTAGCATTGATAGCGTTTATTTCCTTTGTGGAGCATTAGATTCAAGAGTGTTTTTATCACTGTTGTTGGCATCTTTTGAAATAATAACTTTAGTTTTAACTGTTTTATTACATTTTTCAGACTTGTCTAAATCTGAAGTGTTCTTATACACAGTAAGAAAGAATAATTTAAACTGAATTGTTTTTTGTATTTTCTTATTTGTAGGTGGAAAAATTAACTTATTATTATTTTTTTTTTTTTTTGATATCAAGTATCTAAAAAAATAAAAAAAAGTTTTCCACTAGTTTTCTAGTTATATTTAGTCATGACAACAGCAGGTCTTTTTTTTTTGGAAGATCTTTAACCACTGTTATAAAATGATATGGCTGAAAACATTTAACACTTTTGTTTTTGTTTTATCTGAATTGCACCACAAAATATTTTTTGCAAAATTCAATTTTTAGATAAGGGACTTTATAAGTGTATTAAAAAAACTATGACGCCTTTTAAAACCATTTTTAGGAAAATAATGCTATTAGGCAAATGAAAGATGAAAATGTTTTATCAAAACAATTTAAATTATAAAACACGTCTTTCAAAAGAAGTGTTTTATCAAAACACTTCTTTTGAAAGAAAAAGTTCAGAAATCATATTACTATTAATTGTTGAAAAGCTGTCCGAGCATTTAAATAAAACAGCAATAAAAATTAAATTAGCAAGCTGAATATATTTAGATCTATGTTGATTAAAATGACTCCAAAAATGATTATACCTTGTGTAAAAATTTGTCATCAAATTACTTAGTTGACATCAGTAATCTTAGAGTTTTTAAAGTACGTTTTCTGTGACTTAAAATCAAAGTGGCTAAGCTCTTCTTACTCCATAATATACTATTATATATACGCGCACACACACACACACACACACACACACACACACACACACACACACACACACACACACACACACATATATATATACATATATATATATATATATATATATATATATATATATATATATATATATATATATATATATATATATATATATATATATATATATATGTATATATATATAAATATATGTATATATATAAATATTTTCATGCAACCACATGATAAAATAGGACAATGACATTTAAGATACAGATATTAATAATTTTATTGAAAGTTTTTAAATAGAAATTAATTCTGTTTAGAATACAAAACATTAATAAAAAGATATTTTTTGTTTGAAAAATAACAGTAACCTCAGACATCTTTAAAGGATTTTTAGAATAGAAATTTTCAATTAATTTTTTTCCTAAAAAAACAACTTATCTTATCAATTTTTGATCATAGAATTCAAATTTAATACTATATTTAATAAAATTTTTAAATTAATAATGGTGCTCTTTAAATATAAAGGAGTAAAATGTTGAAGGTTAAAACTTAAAATATTAACTTTAAAGAGTTAATACTTTTCTTATTTTGATTTTGCACTAGAAAGTAGAGTATAAAATTTTATAAATTAGCAACACTATAATATCTGTATTTTATTTTATAAAAGCATTAGTTTATAAAAGCAAAAAATGTTTTAGGTATCTTTTTAATTTTTTGCTGTTTTACTGTGGAATATAATAACAATTCAGAAAAAAAAGTATAATTTTTGGCCAAACCTTCTAATCCTTGTTTGGTCTTCTAAACGGAAGTAAATTTTTTAAAAAAACAAACAAAAATACTTGTTAAAAAGTCAATAGTTTTTATTTGAATATTGTTACATTTGTAATTACATTAGCTATAAAAACAATATAATAATAATTAACAATATTAACAATATAATAATAACAAACAATGTAATATAATAATTATTAATATTAATTGAATTTCTAGAAAAACAAAAATCGGAAGCAAACATCAAATTAGAAGAGTACAGCAAAGTAAATGAGTATGAAGAAAACTTAAAATTTCAAGAAGACGATAAAGAAAAAGTAAATGATGGAATTAAAGTTGATGAACAAATGACTGATAAACAATTGTTGTCTGTAAACAACATAGAAAAAAAGGTGAAGGAAATTTTAGCAGCAGATGTCAAAAGTAAAGATGAAAATAAAGATATGAAAATAGAAGAAATTGAAAAAAGAACATTCAGTAAAGAAATCATTATACCTCTTCCTTATCCCAAGATTGAAGTTTCTACAGGAAAAGTATTTCTTTTTTTAATTGATATTTAATAAATATTAAAATGAAAAGAATAAAACTTTTGTTGGTACTCAGAGTTTCATGTCTGACGGCAATCATCAGCCATATATTTTTAAATCAAGAAATTAATAATTTCATATTTATAATTGTTTTAATGATAAATTTAAATAATCATTTCATATTTATAATCATTTTGATATTTATTAAATATATCAGATCTATTATATAAAACATGTTTTAATGATATTGATTACTGTTAAATAAACAAGAATATTTATTGTACATTACCATACAAAAAACATTATACAATTATTATATTTCAATATACTTCATTATACAATAACAATTTTTGTCTAGACAAAATAATGCTAATTCAGCATTTTTGTGATTATCTGAAGAGAGAACAAAGCAACTTTGATATATGATATCTTGATAATGGTTTAGAGAATTTTCCTATAATTTAGAATCCAAATAGAATTTTGCTCAAGCAGTTCGAAAATAATTCTAAGATCTTGATAGTCTCAAAAATACCTCATGTTGAATAAATTGTTGATTTTCGGAGCTAAAATGGGGGCTGTCACAGAAAAATTTCGGGAAAAGATTAATTGTATATCACTTCATCTTAGCTGTACTGAAAAAAAACAAGATTCATGTAATATTTGATCAAAGCAAGGATTTAAAAATAACATTTTTTTTTCTGTAATTTAAAAAACTTAAATTTTGTGATGAAGGAAATAAAATTTTTTTGACAATGAAATTTTAAATTAAAACTTTAATAAAGTGTTATTGAAAAGCTAGTTTAGAACATATTTAATCATGGACATACAAAGGGGAAATGGGAGGGACAAATTCTCTTACAACTCTTCTCCCCTCTAACTCCCACTGGATTTGGAAAAAAAAGAAAAATAATAATGCTAAATTTAAAAAAATGTAAATAACATTATAACAGTGTCTATTTTTTTATTAATTTTTTTGTAACCAATTGAAAATATTCTTTAAATCTTAATCAGATATGTTGTACCCCTCATAATGTTGTGGGTGTAGAAATTATGCATATAACTTCAGAGTTAAGCACCCAGCATTTATCATTTCTTTAAAGAATTTTTATCTGGTTTATGTGCATTAATCTGAATTCAAGTTCACCTACATCTTAAGTGATCTCTATTCACCAATGTTCATCATAAAAGCATACAATATAGTCCATTTTTTTAATGAAATCTCTTTATTATATTTGTTTTTTAATATAAAAGATAACATCAAATAATTAAGTTGGTGTTTCAACACTTTTGTTTATAACTTTGAGCAAATAGGAATAAAAAGATTACATTAACAAATCTACCCAATAGTTTGAGATTTACGACAACTTGTTTGAGATTTACGACAGAGTACATTAAATTACGATTAAAAATTTGCTCATTAGTTGCTTGTTTCAGACTTTCTTGACAAACTACTCTTTTCCCATTTCCAACAATACCATCACAGGGGAATTTACATAATTATTGGACATAATAGTTGTGTGATTACTGATTGAAATCTAAGTTTATGTAAATAAACGTGAAGCAAAACAATAAGTACGTAGTTTTTTTATCAGACTGTTGTCAAAGTATTTCAATCAAAATAATTTTGTATTACCTAAATTATTAAAAACAACACGAAAAAAAATTAAATTAAAACATTTTTTTTAAATGTTGATGTCATTTAAATAATTATGGAGTGTAGTGTATATATGTTCAAAATCAAAAAGATTCAGCAAAATCTGAGATGGAGTATAAAAAAGCTTTTCTCCACTTGGCATAAAATGATCCAACTTTTATTCCACCTAGTTGCATCAATTAGAAATTTTGAATTTCGGTGATGTATGCATATACATACATTGTTAATACTTGATGCATTAAATGCAATACACCACAAAGGTTTCAGACTGCAAAACTTTTACAAACTGACTTTGACATTAGAATAGTCGTTTTTGATTGCAACATATAATTCATTAAGATATTTTTAATTTTAGTTAACCTCCCCAAGGCCGAGAAGGCCACTACAGTCTAGGAGACTTAATTGTGTTTACAACCCTCTCTTAACTCTTTAACTTTAAAACACAAGCCTTGACAAACAAGATTGTTATAAAGAGGTGGTTATAAGTTTTTATCTATTGGGGTTATGAGATTATAAACATCTACATTTTTTATAATTTTATAACAGATTTAATTTAATTATTTTAATAATTATTTAATTTAATACAAGTATTTGTTTTGTTATTCATTTCACTTATTAAATAGTTTAGAGAAAATTAAAGAGAGTTCTGGAGAAAAATTTTGTGACTATGACAGAAATGTTTTCTGGACCAAAAGCTGTAAAAGAGTTTAATTGAAATATGACTTTAGCTATGGAAGCTGCAGCGATTTGAATGTTAATTTAAAACAATGGATTAACCAATTTAATTGAATAGAAGGAAAAACATGACCATTAGTTTCAAGATTTGAATTAGAAGTTTTTTGCAAATAGTTCAGCCTTATCCTTGGGAGAGATAATAAGATCAGTCCCATTAATTAGAGATGGAATGTTAGACCATCCTTTGCTAATGATGTTAATGATGTTAATGATATTGTTGAACATTTTCCAAAAGTCTCTAGAGCTCAATGTCTGAGATACAAGATTAAGTAATTTTGGAAAAATGGAGCTTATCATCAAACAGCACCTTTTCACATTGATTTCTTGCAACAATAAATAAGCATTTGTCTTTGTAGTCTTAAGGAGCCGAATTAACATGAATTAAATTAAAAAAAAAGTTTACAGAAATCTTTGCAATGCCTAATAAAAACAAGTTTCAATAAGTTTTAAAAGTTACTGAAAATCTAATTATGAGTCTCAATAAAATACTATTATAATATTAATAATATTATAAATTTATAATATATAAAATATTTCTTTTCATTAACATAATTAATATAATTAACATTACCTATTATAATTATTATCATTTTTTTTTATGTTAATTCACATCCCTAAGGCCGATAAGGCCACTACAGACAAGGAGGCTACTTTAATTGTGATTACATCCCTCTCAACTCCATTTCTTACAAATCTTGACAAACAAAGCAGCTATGTAGAGAAACAAGTTGACCTTTTAAAGCACTTTTTTACTTTCCTTGTGTGTTCCAAGAGAGTTGCAACTCTTGGAAATTTTTCTCAAACTATTTTCTGTACAATTGCTCGTGATAACAGAATATAATTTTAATTTAACTTTGCATGCTCATGAGTTAATATGTCCTAAACAATTTATTAAACAACACTATATTAAAGTTTTAATTTAAAAATCTCCTTTGTTACAAATTTTATTAAATTAAGTTTTAGAAAGATCTTTGAGTTCTTTAGTTAATTAATTTTATTAAAAAATTCAAAAATAGTCAACAGTTTTAAAAAAATTGCAAAAATGAGGCATTTCTTGAAACATGAAGTCCTTAAGGTGATATTTTTGAAATCCTCAAGCCAAAATATATTTGGATTTTAAATTTAAGGAAATTCCTTCGAACCATTACCAAGATATGTCTCAAAGTTGCTTTGTTTTCCCTTCAAATAAACAAAAAAAAGTGAATCAGCATTATATCAACTAGCAAGATCATAAATTGTATTTTTCGCATATGGGTCAGTTTAAGACTGAGTTTCTGAGGTTTTCATCAGAATATAATGCGCCTCGTTAATGATTCTCTAGAGTGTGCTAATTGTTTTCATTGTTAAATTGAAATAATAATTATCAGTTAATGATCTGATTTAGTTTTAATCGATTTAACAATTTACATTGGGTCAATTATTCTACCTCTGGAATAATTTTGTTTTTTTTACTTTTGAAATTATAGATGTCTACATAGTATCAATTAACATAATTTTGAAATCACTATGCTTTTTTGTACTGTCCACTGTCTAAGATATCTATTAGTATGGGAACAGTACTTTTTATTAGCTTGGCTAGGCGCGCATCTGTGGTCTGAAAGTGTTTAGGGGTGGGTTTGTGCTGAGGAACTTCTGGAACTGTCTGCACTGTTTGCATCTGTTAGTTTTCTTTTTCTTTGTTTCTTTATTTCAGAATTTTAACAAGATTGTGCGTAGTTGTGTTTGATTGGAGAGGGGGAGGAGCATCTCAGAGGTTGAGTGAAAACAAAGACGGGATGTAATATAATAATAATAAAAAATATATCTATAAAAAGATAAAAAAAGATAACAAATAGTTGGAAAGATAAGGTACTGTCAGGATTAGTGTAGGAAAAAGTCATTGCTTCGTGTCTCTCATCTCCTCCATGAGGAGGAGAGTGGTATATATTTTTGTGTGAGTTCGCGGACGACACAGGTACGTGTGCTAGTTGGAACACACTGAACCGTAATAGCCCAAGAGAAGTGAGGCAAAACAGATTATTTAGATTAAGTGTTAGTGTCAGTTTAACAAAAGTTGGACAGATGGGGGGGGGGGGGAAGAATTTTACCTGTCGTTTTTACTTCTAGTTGTCTTGCGTTGGTTAAGTTTTTGTGGGGGACTGAGGAGGACCTAGGTCGAGGAGAGCAGGGTAAAAGCCACATCATTAAAGGTATAACATATCTATTGTTAACAAACGCAATTCTAATATATACAAACACAATTCTATTATTTACAAACACAATTCTGTTATTTACAAACACATTTCTATTATATACAAACGCATTTCTAATTACATGTGGCATTAAAGGACAATATTTTCATGTTATTTGGTGGTCGTGGTCGTCGTCATTCCTCTGGCAACAGTGTGTTGTGGGGCTTCCCCGTGTCTTGTTCTTACTAATTTGTATTTTATGGATTTGTGGTTTTTAGAAACTCTCATTGGTTTGTGCGGTAGGATGCAGTGAAGGTATTCGTTGTTTTCAATAATGTTCCAGTGTTTTACGACAGTCTCTTGTATTTTTTTTCCTGTGCAGTCAAAAGGTAGAATGATGGGTAAGATATGTGGATTTTTGTTTCGGTTATTGCTGCTCTTTTCGT